TCTCGGTTTTCCGCGATAATCCGCGGGCGCGCTAGCGAAGAGGGGGTGGGGATTGGCGTTTTCGTGGGTCGGCGTATACATACAAAGCGGAATCTCCGGCAAAGTGGATTTTCATCGCGAAATCTGATTTCACCCCCCCCCCCCCAACATGTGCAGGAATGCGTGCGTGTACGTTAAGTGAACCGGGAGTATATATATACCATACACTGGAAGCCACTTTATTGACCGACATGGACAAGTGCGTGTGAGCACATATACAACACCTGCACCCATTATATTGTACCCAAAAGCACAATACGTACACGCGTGTATTATACGTTCCCGAGCAAAATACAGAGGGGCTGTGTATAAGAGTCTCGGAGTAGGGCACACGAATGCCGTGGCTTATACGAGGATCGTGCCCTCGATTAACAACTCGTCTTTTAATACGGAGGTGCCAGGGCACGAGGCTTACTCTCGATAAAAATGATATATGCGTTGAAATAGAAAATTTAATAACCATGACAATAGAAACAAAAAATATTAATCTTTGTCCGGGGGGAAAACAAACATCTGAAAAAATAGTCTCATTGACGAGAAAGCAAAAATTAAAAGAAAAAAAAAAACGTAAAGTATCCGATTAGGGTATATGAATTAAGGTACAAATAACAGCCCATTGGTCCAGATGACCCCACTCCTCGGTCCGATGATTAATAGCACCCATGTCAAGTCAGGTGTGTGTGTAGAGGTTGCAGCTTATTTCTCCCCCCTTTTTTTTCCCCTGTACAGCTTCATCACGCACTTCCCTGATTTGATTGACGCTTTGCGTGGACTCGGATACACATATCTCGCGTGCCAGACTAGATGTATATATGTATACCACCCACACCTGCGTTTGCCGAGCTGATTGATCGCCCCCCCCTTCGGCGCGTGCATGCGTGACGATGACCATCCCCAATTCACGGAAATGCTAGGCTAACTTGCGAATACTGTATATATGCTCTATACTTATGTACATACTCTATGAATATTAGTTCATGTATTTGAACAAATAAAGTGTTATTATTTTTGTGTCCTGATGTATACCACCAGCCAAGCGATTTCCAAAAGAGGCTATATATATACTCCGTATTGTATGGGCACAATTTCTCCAGGGCCATTATTTTTAACGACACGCGGAACGACAATATTTTCCGCCGGCGCGCTGGGTAATCCGGGGGCCAAAAGTCGGCACTCGAGCGCCAACGGCCCTCACCCTTCGGATCCGGCAACAATGGCTGCTATTAGACATATCTGTATTTCGGGGAATTGAATCTAACAGCGAGAACCGAGGGAAGGGGGGATAAAAGAGGTCGGAGGAGGCAAGCTTCTTCGATCCCCGCTTGTACTCGGCTCTGAAACACTTTTGATTGCGAAAGAGAGGGAGGGAGGAAATCCCGCGAGGCCGGCTCGCGCGCGACAATCACGCCCGCGGCGTCGGGATTGCGGCTTACACTCCTCTCTGTACACCTACTCGTGCTCGGTGAGAACAACGGTAGGACACCCTCTTCCCTCTCCCTATACGTACGTGTGCATATATATATATATGTAGGTAACAAATCGCCCGAGTGACACGTCTTTTGGGAGATTCGGGCTGGGCTTATACTGTACATATATACGTATACACATGTATGTAGCGCAGCGGCATCGGGTCGAGGGCCCGGAGCTTTGGCCGAGTACTCGTCGTCGCTTTGTTTCGCGGTATTTTTTATCCGCGCCCTGCCGACGCGAGATTATGGGATTTTCCCGAGAATCGACGAGAATTTCGCTCGGCTCTGTACCTTTAAAAAGAAAAAAAAAGAAAAAAAAAAAAAATAGAGACACGACCAGGACGGGAAGTATGAATTATTTTGCGCCTGCTTCCTCTCGGTTTCCTCGATCGAGTTTGCGCAAATTGGACGTGCGCCTACCTACAATCAGCAAGCGTGTTGTTGCCCGCAAATTGTTTTAGAGCTCGGTCGGGTGTCACGTGCTATATAGGTGGAGTGAAAAATTTTACGTCCTCCGTGTGAGCCGTAAAAACGGCATTAAACCCCGAGGTAATGTCAATCGGGCTCCGTTGCTCCCTGCCTACTTAGGGTCGCGGCGAGATAGGAGCCCCTTGGTGATGCCACTTGTACTCGTCACGCGAACCCACGCCTTCCCAATTTCCGGGAGGCGGTGATCAATTCTCACTCAACTCCCTTTCTCATCCATTTTGTGCCCTGTCTCTGCCGGTGGAAGTAAATTTCTCGCGACCGCCGCACTTCGGGGGATTTTTTTAATCAATAGCCACTCTACATTCGCGTGGAAACTCGGCCGAGGGTAGATAATGGAAAGGAGGAGGAGGAAAACAAAAGGAACGAGTCCGATTCTTACGGAGGGAGGCTCCTTTTTTTTCTTTTCTTTTTTCTTCATCTCCCTCCCGGAGAAAACGGAGGCTCGGGCCGTCCATGCTGATTTTGCAGGAGGTGCAAAGTGGGCTCTATTTTTTTCTTCTTCCCTTCAGCGCTGTCTCAGCCGTCACACCCACCCCCTTGACACCACTGTATACCTCGGTGCTCCGCAGACTCTTACACCGCGATACAATGAATTATTATTATTACTACTATTTTTCTTTCTTTTTTTTTTTTTTTTTTTTTTTTTTTTTTTTTTTTTTTTTGTTCTTTCCCCTCCACATAGCTTTTTGGTCCCGGCAGCCCCCCTTTCTTGTATAAATTCCGAGCTGCGTCTGAAATGTTTTCCCTCTCCCTTTGGCCGCATTAACTTCTGGCTGGGCGCGCGCGCTCTCTTCGTTTTTGTTTCGTCCGCCGGGTTGTGACAAAAGCACCTTGCCACCCCAACCCCCGCACCTTCCGCAGAACTTTGAATTCGACGTACACGGTAAATGTAGTAATTAGTAGGAGTGTGTGTGACTTCCAACTGCAGTGCATGAAAAAAATCGAGGGATCAAGCGTGCAGGGCGCGCAGTTTGTTTTCATCGCCACTTGTGGACCAGGGCGCATTTTTCTTGGCAACCCATTGTTCCGCGGTGAAAAAGGAAATGTCGTTTGTGTGTGTGTGTTTTTTTTTCCTATTTTTTTCCCCGTTGCTCCTCTCTCGCGCGCGAAAGGGTTTGTTTTTAAAGGTGTACACACTCCGCGTGGCGTTGACCCTCTGCTGCGCAACGTCTGCGACTTTATTTTTTTAACGACCCCCTCCCCCCGAGTCCTAGGTTTTTTTTTTTTTTTTTTTTTTTTGGGCTCTGCTGCGCGCTTTTTCGCAATTTATTAGTGCAGAGTTTGCACTGTTGTGTTTAACATTTTCCACTCGTGCAAAGCCGAGATGCGCGTTTTTTACATATAATTGCTGTACCTAAAAGAGCACAGTTTCTTTTTTTCCTCACAATCATCGGTTACGAGATGGTTATAAACTCCCTATAAAAATCTAATATACGTATTACATCACCAACGGTAAAAAAAAACAGGGATAAACGGCCAAAAAAAAAAAAAAGAAAAAAAGAAAACGTTATCGATGGGGTTAGTGCATCTGACGCCCATGAGGAAGGGGAGGACGCGTCTGTGTGCCAACATTACTATAATATATAGATAAGCTCCGTCGAGACTTGTGTCTTTCGACGTTTGCAGATAGAAGGATGAGGCGTCGATCCCTCCATTCTCCCTTTTAACGCCGTGGAATGGAAAACTTTTCCCTCCCCCTCCTCCTCCTCCTTCTCCTTTTTTTAGTACTTCTGTCGAGTTTTCACTTTGCTCGCGCGTGATGGATTATTCTCCGTGGCTGAATTATTCAATGACGCAAACTTTTTCCAGAATAACGACAAGAAATCTTCAAGGTACAAGCACAAAATGTCCTGCACATTCACGTATAATATGTGCACGATCGACCCGAAAGCGCGCATTCGTTGTTAAAAAAGCAATCCGTCAGCTACACCGGAGCTGGCAAATCACGCGAGGGAATCGCAGGGGTGGTTCGCCCCGGCGCGTTTTCCTTCCTGTTCGCGCCGTTGAACGACATTAGTAACGAGCGATAACGGGGAAAGAAGAATCGCCTCGGCCTCGCCAACTGTGCAGTCTGCACACATGTTACATACGCCTATTGAGGTACCGATAGGTATAGATATACGCGTGGAATCTTCGTGCCTGTACCTCGTACTATATATGCATATATGACTTTGAGTCACGATGCTGAAGCAAGTGAGAAAAGTCGCTCGAATTTCGAGGCAATCCGTGTAACATGTGGATTTTCATAAGACGAATGATGGTGATAATTTTCGTTTGTTACGTCAGTAAATTGAGTTTTACTCGTTGGCACCACTACATTTTTTTTTTTTTTTTTTTTTTTTTTTTTTTTTTTTTTTTTTTTTTTTTTTTTTTTTTTTTTTTTTTTTTTACACAATCAATAACAAAAATAATTGGTTTTGGTGCAAGCATGTTTGACTCTTTGTACACGCATGAGTTGAAAAATCATGGAACAGTACGATTATTTTCATTACAAAATTCCATTGAAAAACACTTGTTTATTTGTTCGTTGGATGATACTTTTTAATTTAAAGCTCATCATCCGAAAACTTTTCATGCCTACGATTGTCATTTTTACACCGTCACCTTTTTTCGGACAAAAATAAAAGTTCGCAAAAGACATTACCGCAACTTTATCGTTCCGTCAAAGCTCTAAAAGCGCGTCAGGTGCTCCTTCAACCGGCACGGGCCCGCAGTACAATGAATCCCCGGGAGTTATATACGTATACTCCACCGCGTTACCTGTCGTCGGTATCAATATATACTTTTCCCGTCCGCTATACTTACTCCTTTAATTATATTACATTTTACTCCATACAAATGCAAACTCTGCTTGCACATACGTACAACTTGCAATAATATTCAGCTCTCCTCCCTCGCCGCATCGGTACTTTTGCTACACTTATCGACTGCCGGATGCTACGTTTGACACTTTGACCCGCGCTCTCTTGTGTAGACGTATATAGGTATAATTTATCCTGCTTTGTGGCCTAGATTTCCACACAATGGAAATTAGGTTAATCAACCCGGTAAGGAGGCCAAAGAGAGAATCAACAATCTCCCGCATTGCCTCTGCCATCGATCCTTTTCACCGTTTCTCTCGGTTTCTCTCCCCCTTGCTCGAAAGGATTGTCGATGCTATTGGTGATGTCGTTCACGAGCTTCTGCGAATCAAATTTTTTAAAATGAATGTTAAAGAAAAAAAGGAAAAAAACAAGCTCTGCCGATAATGATCTGCAACGTACGACAGTATTGACGTCCTTCGGGTCGAGCGACGCCGAGCTGAGCGCTTGCAGTGCCCTGGTGAAGTATCCCAGGGCCATTCGCTTGTCGCTGCAGAAGGCGAAGAGCAAAAAGGCCCGCCAGTCGGCGTCGATCGGACAAATCATGCAGCCCGTTCTCGCCTGTGCACGAAACAAAATAAAAATAAAAAAAAAAAAAAAAACAACAACTTGGCGCGTATATGCGCGTCATTTGCATAATTTTCAGTCTCGTCACGCCAAGTGCAAAATAAAGTGTCAGCCACGACCGCGACTCCGATTGATTAATAGACCGTTTCTTTTTTTTTACTACTACTTATTACTAATTTTTTTTTTTCTCTCCAGCACTCGGAATATGCAAATCATGTATATTTACCTTAGAACTGTACGCGATTCTGTGCTCCTTGCAGAGATCGACGAGGAAATTTCCACTGCAGTGGGACAATCCGTCCATGTACAATTTTCCACTGCACACGACGTACCGATTATCGCGCTTCTCGCATCTCGAAGCCGATGGCCCATCCTCGAATCTGCAATTGTTTATATTTTGACACACACGGAGAGATACAAGCGCATCGTTTGGATGAGTATAGACAAGTGTACCTGTCGGTGAGTGGTATGTCCAAACAAAATCTCCTCCAATCGTCGAACGATATCAAGTCCGTGTAGTAGGGATCGACATCAACGACCCAGTAATTCAGTTCCTACACGCGCAAATAACGGTCCAACTTATCGATTACAATACAATAAGGTAATATGTCAAAACACGCACCTTACTGCCATCGGTATCCTCGTCACGGAAAACCACCAAGTCAACGCCGTAGTATCCAATGTACTGTTCGAGCAGCATAGCCCCGCCAAGTTGGACCACAAGCTGCCGGAGCGTGTCCATCGGCAGAGTCGACTGTGGGATTATGTAGCCAAAATCGGTCCAGCCGTAGTCGGCGCGCGTTTGTAGGACATCGGCTGCGGTGCACAGCCGCGCCTCGGCCGTGTCGTGCTCGATAAAACAGCCCAGACTCACCGTCCTGAACTCGACCCCCGGACAGCCCACCAATACTCCACCTGATCGTTTTTCAGCCGGGTCACAATACTACGCCGGCAAGTATCGAACTAATCTTCGCGATCGAAAACTATCTCGGTCGCTCTAACAATGGAACCGTCCCCATCTTCGTGATCAATAGTCGCTATCTGCACCATCACAACCTCGATGGTCACGACTAAAATAATAACCACGAGCGTCGTCAGGCTGTAGCCTTGCGCGTATTTGTCGTGTTCCAGAGCCAGTAGCCGAGCTACCGTCGATTCTGCGAAAGCTAACATCGTGTAACCGATTGCGCGTTTAGTTGACTTGGTTTTCGAATAATTTGCGATTTGGGTGGACTTTCGTCCGGGACACGCTTACCGAACTGACCCGCGTGATCGTGAAATTGGTGCTTTTGTCGTGTTGATACAAGTTCAACGTACGGCAAAATCGGCACTTCCTCCCGAGATGTTGAAAAAACAAAGTTCCCTGTTTATCCAAGTTTAATTTAACCCGAGAGCCGTGCGGTACTTTGCACAATTTATTTTCAAACATGATATACGGGATACCCACTCGCTTGGTTCTGTAAAGGTGAGCGTGAATGACGTATGTTTATCTCTTTTGTGCTATTCAAGCTGATCTAATTCAAATCGAGAGTAAAGCGTGTATTAAAAATAAAACTAAATCTAAGATTTAGAGATAACGATTTAATGTCACTTCAGGGGTTTTCAGCTACTTTGTTATGGTACTAAAAAATGTTATTGAACGAAATATAATTTGTACGGTACATATCAGTACTATAGTCTTCTATTTACAATAGCGTAGTAAATTGATTATATATTAAAAGTAGATGGAAAATTCGATCGAAAAAACTTGCGTAGGAAACAAAAGACGTGTCATGCCTATACATTCTTTGCAACGGCTATTTACAAATGGGATGAAAAAAGAAAAACCAGCTCTTTCGTCCGAGCTCCGAATGATCACGTTTTCCAACCATCATCACGTTCGTCGAACCGAAACACTCGACCGACGTCGATCGGACAAAGCGCATCGGCCGACAATTAAAAAGCTGCACAACAATATTTTACGCGAACAAAAGAAAAACAATAATCACCGTGTCGCTCGATTTCGACAAAGAAGTCCTTGGCGTCCTTATAAGCCTTTCTGTTGACTCGTATTTTTCGCGGCAACGCGTCGACCAGATAGCCCCGCAGATTTTCCTTGCCAAACGGAAGATAAGGAACACTCTAATTACGCCGGTATCATTTTTACGCGCGCGCTCGTACGGCAAAAAAAGTTGGTACAAGCGCAGCGAGAAAATTAACTCTTCGCAATCGGACTTTCAAATTAGCTTTTGAAAGTCCGATTGAAAACTCGATACTAATAAGCGCGGAAGACTGGACAATCAAATTAAAGAAAAACTTTACAGACTTGGGCTTCTTTTCTGACTTTTTTCTTGCAAAATAAACGTTTGCTAATATTTTAATGCATCATACGTTCTAAAAAAAAAATTTTTTTTCACACCTACTTTACAGCATAATGCTCAAAAAAATATTTTCCAGCAGAAGTACCGCACTACAAAGCGAAAGAAAAAAATAAAAAAAATAAAAAAAACTTGGACAAAGTATTCAAATATTTTAAGATTTAAAAGCAACAAAAAATAAGGTACTTTATCTAAGAACTAAAAATATTCTTTCAAAGTGTAAGTTTCAAGTGCCCAAGTCTGAGAAGCTCATCCGTACCTCGGATAGCTCGCAAAACTCCCCGCAGTCCAGGCATACGAGGGCGCTCTGATGTCCGCAAAACCCACAGTTGACCTTGAGCAGCCACTTTTTACGGTCGCGCCAACCGTGGTGAAAGATCATCCTCGCCAACGCGTCGCACAGCTGTTTCGAAGCAAACAGGACAAGTGGGATTAACGTAACGCGCGTAAGGACCACTATCGTACACGATTTACATCGGATAAAGTCCGAACAGGGGCGAACGGCGGGTGCCGGATCCCCGAGGCGCTCAGCAACGCCATCACGTAGTGCTTGTCGAGCAACCGATTCTGGAAAGCCAAGTGGGGCCCTGGAAGAGTAGGAAAACCGTCATTTCCACGAGATCCCACGCGCCGTCGACGACCCACCTACGATGGACGTCCTCAGCTCGCACGCGATGAAGACATCCGTCTTGCAGAGCACGCCCGGGATGATGAAACTCCGCCGGCCGGCCGTGAGCCGTCTCACTCGGCGGTACACGCTCGGCGTGTAGAAGAGGTTCTCGCAGCCGCTCCGGTACCCCTCCTCCACCTCCTGGCACAAGCTGAAACGCGTTTCGGGTCGGGTTGACGGTGTTTACGGGCTCGTTGAATCGGGCATACCATTCCTCGTCGTTGGCGATGATCCACAGGTTCGAGAGGCAAGCGTCGGGCCTCGCCAATTCCACAAAGCTCCGTAGGACAAACTCCGTCTCCCCGTTGGACTTTCCCGGGCACACGTAAATCACCTGGGCGTTCCTGTTCACCAGCCACCCCAGTCTGCCCACCTGGGCGCTCTGAATGGGGAGGAATCGGCCTCGAGCCTTGCACCGTATCTCGCACGGGTAGCCCATCGAGGGCAGGTGTATCACTTGGTGCGGGAAACGCCCGAGGCGCTCCCACCTCTTGCTCGTGCAGCTCGACCTAACGTCCGAGTGTATGCTTTCATGTGTATCGACTCAAAGAGAGAGAGAGAGAAAAATAGAAGGAGCCCTCCGACCATCTCATCAGGTTTCTGGAGAACTCGGCAAGCCCACACGCCTCGGCGTCCCTGAACCTGTCGACGTCCTCGAACCGGTCGGCCCGAGGTGGCATGGCGCAGCTGTCGAGGCAGCACTCCTCCCTGCGCATCATCCTCCTCAGCTCGAGCCTGAACAACACCTGCTGGACCAGCTCGTCGAAGCGGCCCCACTTGCCAATCTCCTCCGATCGGCCAACGTCCCCGATGCTAAACGGTCCTGGCTCCTCCAGGGAAGCCTCATCCACCGATGGTGATCCGCCAGGGTGCTTGCACTTTCGCTCTCTCAGGTAGCGCTGCCAGCATTCCAATGACTCTACCGAGGAGCTCTCCGGCTCGCAGGAGCAGAGGACTTGGCATTCCGAGCTGGTCGGATCCCAAGGACGGATGATAATGGTGATTTATGCGTGTACGCGCTTCTTCCTCACCTCTCGGATCGGCTGTCGCCCTGTACTTTGACGGGGACGAGCTTGTAATGGGGGAGATTCCGCCTGCACTTGGTGAGGTCGAGTCCTCGGGTGCGGCGGACCAGCTCCTCGTCCAGTTGCCGCTGTATCACGTCCACGAAGCATCGTATCTCGGCCTCCCTGAAGGTGGGCTTGGACCTGAATAGGTTGTAGAACTCCCGTAGGTCCGAGTTTGTGGAACACTCGCAGCTCGAGTTCGGCTTGGCGCGGGTGCAGTCGACCTGGTGGTATAAGTTCTTGGTGGACGCGTCGACGCATCGGTACAGGAACCCGGACTCAGGTTTGAGGTTGCGCAGGGCGCGGGAGATGCCGAGTTTTTCCTCAGCGGTGATTTTTTCGGAGTCGAGCAGCCTCAGCTCGTCCAGCGGGGACACGTGTCCCGGCAGCGGGGGACAAACTTGGACCATCGTTCGAAAAGGGACTTTTTTTTTTTTTTCTTTTGTCGTTCGGGGAACTTGGAATTTCAATATTGGGAGGGAAGGTTATGGGGAATTTTGACGTACGTGCAATATGCCTACTATTGGGGACTGCAATGGAACCACGCGAAGTTGAACGTAAAAGACGACTTTTATCGTCACTCGGTAGTTAGCTCGTCGGGGATTTTTTATTCCACAGGAAACGTATACCTATGTGTAAATCCAACTGGTAAAATTAGCGATAAAAAGCGCGGGTCAGAAAAAAAAAAAAAAAAAAAAAAAAACTCGCGTAGCAAGTGATGTGTACCATATATTATGCAACGGCGTGTGCATAGCGAGTGTCGAGCGACCTCACGCGCAACCTCGGCATCAACTGGTTTTTCCGCGAGTGACGCCGACGTGGGACCCGAGTAGGGTCGTGTGCGCGTATAAAAGCCGCCGAATGCCGTGGAAATCGATCTAATCAGTGGCTCTCGAGCGCGAACGCATCGGCTCTTCTCATTTTACTTCTCGGATACACACACTTGCCTCCGTTGTTTATCGCTCGATCGGTTCTAAATGGCGCGGTACGGAGCTTGGCTCGGGTTCTCGGTGGTGCTGCTCCTCGTGGCTGGTGCGACTCGAGCCCAAGAGGACGATGGGGTGCACTACCCTCGCTCGTGGCTGAACGTCGACATAAAGCCCATCGTCAACAACGAGAGGCTCTTCAGGAAGTACAAGGAGTGTCTCCTTGCCGACAAGACCAACGGATGTCCCCGCGACGTCGTCGAGTTCAAGAGTGAGTGGGCCACTATTTTTTTTTTTTCCAACTCTCTGGCCTTTTTTTTCAAGCCTGCATCAATCGGTGTCTCGTTTATTAAATAAACAAGTGATCATTACGGGGTACATAGCGTTAATACAACAGTGTCCCCTTTCACTCTTTCCGCCAATGCTCTGTCCCGTATATATAGCGTTGAGGGAAAAATGGCAAATTTTCTAATGTACCCAAAAATTAATATCACATTTTTTCGTGAGAGTGTGCAAAACATGGGGACTTTTTCTTTTCCTCGCGCCCACAAATGTTGTTCTCGTAAGCTTAAAACTATATGATTGCAGGAATCCTTCCCGAAGTGCTGGAAAACACGTGCAGCAAGTGCCTGCCCGAGCACATAACCAAGGTCAAGGAGGCCCTGGAGTACATCTGCCAAAAGCGGCCCGCCGATTACGACGAGGTGAGGAACCACAGGGACCCGACTGGCGAGCTCCAAGCCAAGTTTGCCGAAAAGTACGGCAAAATCAACTGCTGACTTTGATCGTTATTCACAGAGTCTCGAATTTGCTTTTTATTTATTTGTTTAATCACTTGATTATTATTGTGAGTTGTACTTAAAAAAAAAAAAAAAACCTACGTATGTCTCATTCAACTACCAAATATGCTTTTAGTTTTTCATGAAATATTTCAGTTTTTTTTTTTTTTTTGCAGTGTATTAATAGACGCGAGAATAAAAAATAGTTGAGAAAGAGTTAATATCATTGTAAAAGTTATTTGTGAAACGTAATATACGCAGCATTGTGCATTTAATTGATTTAATGATAGTAACAATATTCATTGACTTGCGCACTTATACTTATCAATAGGTACTACATGTAAAGTAAAAAATAAAAAAATATTTGTCATACGAGCTAAAGCATCTATACGTACTATTGACGACTGGGCTCTGCAGGAAAACGGCAGAAAGCAATAAATAAGAAGTAACATTACGCGAAGATAAAAATGTACAATATATGTAATCTCAACGGTTGAGGCTGTTGTCGTCCAGCGATGGTGGCTCGAGGTACCTTTTTCGATAAATACCCCGGGGATCGAACTTATTGGCAAGAATTTGGAACTTCACAGGCTCGAATTCTCTGAAAGGAAAATCATTTTTTTTTTTTTTAACCGACTAAATTATTAGCTCGCGTATATTTACATGCCCTCACGTTGAGCTGTTCCTTAATTCTAACGCGAGACACGAAAGTATACATCAACCACGTCGGATCAGAGTCCCGTACGAGATTAGCGTTCACAGCAGGTACGCTGGCGCACTTCCTTTTTTTTTTTTTTTTTTTTTTTTTCATACGACGTTATAATCGTCCAGCAGTGGCGCCGTTAGAGATCGTTGACGGGTTATCCTACCAACACTCGCGATGCGTCGTTTTTGCTCACACGGTACATACATGCACGGGCTACGCGACTAATCGCCGCTTAAATTACATTTTTTAATTTCCAACCGGTGTAAACATTGTTTTTGCGAGACTATGTGTATTATTTACGCAGAGAAGAAAAAAAATGAGAGGAATGTTGTTCCTTTCTCGTAATTACCTTAAATAACGAATCATCTTGATGGAAGTCTCTATCTGGCTCTGGCTGCACTTGGCACAGGCATTTGCCAAAGCTTCCGGGAGAGCACCTGCGAACAACAAAGAAGATTTTTCGTTTAAACTCTGAGCGTATGTGTACGGTCATGGTAATTTTCATTTTTGTCGATTATTGTCGCGACGAATTTGCAAGAGTAGAGTTTTGATTGGAAGAATTCGACGGGGATGAAAAAAGTTCACGGGTGTTGATAAAAATGTTCCGGCTTTTCTTTCGTTTCGTGTAAATATGTGTTATGTGGGTCTGCATTTACTTAACCCGGCAGAGGAAACGGGACACCGTAAAGAACTGCACGCGACTCTCACGCCGGGATGTGCACGTGATGGGATTGTTGCATGAACCGTTGTAAGTATGTGAGCCTCGATTCCCATACCCGCGTGCGAGTCATTCCGCGAAAAATCTCGTGTGACTTACTTTTTTATCATCAACAAAACTTTCTTTTTTTGTTTTAAATGGAAATTATATTTTCCAACTTTTTTATCAATTAAAGTTATTACGTAAATTTATTATCAAAAAGAATGTTTAAAAAACAAAAATAAACAAAGATTACGAATGAAATTTCTTGAGGCTTGAAATAGCATATTTCAAATTCAATGAATAATTTGAAATTATTAACACCTGTAGGTACTTGTAGACCTTACGATTCAACAAGTGTCGTTTAAAAGATTCACTATATCTTACAATTATTCTTAATTATTCATGAGCTGCTAATAACATTTTTTCGATTCGAAAAAAAAGGTACCAAAATTTTTGTATACACAACTATAAACAAAATATCATTTATAATGGACGATTTTCGAGATGACTTTCCTTGTAATTCCAGGAATCGGCGCACTTGACGGTTCCGGTTGCGCGCGTGTGCGACTTTTCTCATTGTTTCGGCCCTTGGAGCATCAGTTAAACTGAGCTCGTAATTATAAAAAGCACGTGCATTAATATGCTTGTCGCATGATACATTTGTACAGCCACAAAGGGTCGCGGTTATCTTGTTATTCAGTTGGGCATTTCTTTCATTCACGGAGGACTCAATCCATAAAGATACTGCATACATCGAATACAGGGATGATCTTACGGTGCAGTTTTATTGTTCGACTTTTGATTCTCTAAATTTATAGAAGCAAGATGAATCGGTATCTTTTTTCTTTTCAATCGGCAACTTTAAATTTCAACATTCACGCCGGTGAACAAAGACTCTGAAATTCTAAAACGAGCGCCACGCGACACGGGCATTACCGGCGTGCAACAATGCATCCTTCGTCCTTCGGAAATACATCATCTCGAATAATGAAACCGGCGCGGCGCAACGCGATTATTCATTTAATCTTCTTCCAAATGCTAATGAGTCCCCGCGGGACGGATTGTTACGTCCTTTATTCGAGACCGGTGGGTGTGTCACTTGATTCCTCTCATTTTCGCGTCGCACTTCACACTCGGATTTTAATTCGCTTAGTCACACGATTTATCCTTTGTTAACGATCCCGATCCCCAGAGTGTCGTAAACAATCGAGCAACTGGTTTCAAACCACCGACTTTTATCACTCGGTATGGAAATTCTTGCCAGTTACCGCGGATAATAAAACACCGGGGAGCATCGAATTACTTCCTCAATTTGCACGAGTAGATCGCGACTACGAGATAAATCTTGATATCAACACGCCCCATCCCAGTTTCCCGCCATCGTATATTATTCACACGCTTGATCCCAATACCGATCTCGTACATTCCAATCTTCGTCGATAAACTATCCTGATGGATTTTTCCAACCCCATGGATCCTGTCACACGCGAACACATTTCGATGATTTTTCAAGCCATACCCATCCCGAAGAAATATATCTTTGATAACTTTCCACCGAATTCACAATCAACTCCGGTGTGGGTGTCACAACATGTGTCATACACACGGGGATGTAACGTATCCGCGCACTGATCAACCGACCATCGCCATAAAGTATATAAAATGTAGAGTATATATATAAGCACACGGAACTCACGTTTGAGCTCCAGCCCATCCGGGGGACAGGGTCCCTTCGACATGAGACAATTGAAGTAGTGTTGCATCAATCGCCGACTGCCGAGCAGTGCTTCAAAATTCACCTTGTCCCAGCGTGTGTTGTAAGTGTGGGGCTTGGGCCAGGGGTAGCCACTGGCCCCGGCGTTGCTCTCGCCGTACTTGTTGTCGAGGCTGCCGCCGAGCCACCAGCAGAGCGCCAGCCAACACATCCGCTTGTCCATGACTGCGGCCGTGTCCGTGGCTCGTCACTGAGTGCAGCTGCCAAGCGCGGATCAATTATAGTCCCGCGGGAAAACCGCTGCTCCCCTCATCCCATGCCGTGTCTATACCCGTCTACGTATACGCGTGAGCGCGAGACGTGGGGGCGTCAGAGAGAGCAGCTCGAAGAAAGACGGTCACTTTCTGCGATGATCTAGATCTCGCGTTTGCACTCCGATATATGTTTTCAAGTATTTTCCAACCATGAAAAATCTAATCTTGTTTGCTCCGCTAAAAAATCCAATATTTGGAGGAGAGTGGAGTAATGATGTATTCACCGGAGAGTAAAGCACGTGGAAAAAGACGCTGGTTGGCAACTTTGTCGAATGACGTTCGCGGTGGAGCACAATAGGGCCATGCATCTCCCCTCGCGCGGAAGGAATTTGCTCCTCACAATGGCTCCGTACCTATAGACGGCGAGCTTTTCGAGAAGCTCCGCGTTCTGATGTAGCAGAGCTTCTCTTCTCCAGAGCCAGAATCCGCGCTATGTGGTCCAGGGTGCAGGAACGTGTTTGGAAATGTGTGCCTTTATTCCTCGATCTCACTGGATGCCTGTACTCGAGTGCTTATGCGGTAAATGATGGATAAGTATAGTACCTTCAATGTTACACCTTTGAAATTTGGTAATAATTTATCAGTCAACCGAGTTCGGAAACACTTTCTCAAAGTAGATTAATTTCGTTGCTATCGTAATGACATAATGATTTTATGAATATAATAAAAGAGATGATATTAAAGAATCACTTGTGTATCACTAACGATGATATTTCGGCTTTACGGAAGAAAGGCAGAAAATTATTTAAAAATTTAAATGTTGGGTGTCATCTATTTTACCTGCTTATACGTATGCGTAAAAATACGTGCAATGTATTAAATTGATTTTCATTCATAAAAAAAAAGAAAGAATTACTTGAAACAAATACTTATTTTTTTATAAGATGATTGTTAGTTGTCGCTTACAGCATTCAGTAGTACAATGTATATACAACTTATCAAGACATTCATCACATTATTAGAGATGAAATTAAATGATAAATAATATAATTTTATATCGAATAATTTTTCGTAGATTAAAAGAATGTAATATCCAATATTGTGGAACTAAACGTTGTCGTGAGCGATACATGAATCAGGTTGTATATTGCCCGTTACGATTTATTTGATAGATAATAAATCATAATTGCGATGCACGTGAATTAAATATTGATGTATACACTTTTGCCGCCCACGACTTTAAAACTGCGCGTGTATATACAGTTACTTGCTGTACGTGCGACCATCATGACAACGTAACTGTACTCTCTCTCTCTCTCTCTCTATCCCTCTTCGCCGTCGCATCTGCCTTGGTATATACATAAATGTTTCGAGCTGTACCAATTAATAAAAACATAAAACGGTAAAACATCTAAGAGTGTTTCTCTCCTACAAAGTGCTTGATTGACACGCGCAGTGCAAATTTATAGACGAGACCTTGACTTTCAACGATATTTACAGTGCGGAAAAACAAATGAATCGTTTAATTGAAATTCCTTTCGAGAAGCTTGCAGTTGATTCGCAATTTACTTATTTACTCTTCAATCGACGCGTGATTATGTAAACGATAAACTGTACTTTATTATGGACGATTATCTTCTTTTTTCTGTGAAAAACTTGATTCAGAACCACAATTGAACTTTAGCTGGGTTACAAAGGTGTGTAAAAAAATACAGTTGGTACATCTTTAAGAGGTAAAAACAAATCCTCGAAACTCCAAGTCCAGAACAAAAGAATTGCCTCCCTCCCCCTTCTATGCACAGCATTGGCCTTGACCTCGAAGTCATCCTAGCCGAACTAAGAGTTCAGTGCGACAAAAACAAAGCGCCCGCCTCTTCTCGACGGCTCTCGGCGTACAATCTTATTTGATGAAGAGGACAGCGTTACGCTTGACGCCCACATAACGTGGGAACCTGTCACCGAGTCCGAGTAGCCGCAGACATGACTTTGTTTGGAGCAAATGCACGCCAAGATACTCCGCTAGACAAGAGTATATATGCATTTCCTCAGTTTGGCCTGCATACACATTAAGATTGCCTGACTTTGTTCACTGGTGAAATCTAAATACACGTTTCTAGCACTATAATATCCTCTGGTACAGCTCTTTTCACCACACAGAGCCTAAAAAAAATAGTGGCTATGCACTACATTAGGAATTTTGAGAGTCAAAATTGTTAAAATCTTTAAATCGCCATAACTCCGTAAATAATGCAGTTATCGCTTGAAGGACTGTCATCTGTGATCACAAAAATAAAAAAAAATTTTTTTTTTAATTAATGACTTTGCTCGCTGGTTAAATATTAATACACGTTTCTAGCACTATAATATCCTCTGGTACAGCTTTTTNTAGTAGGGGATTTTGGCTTACCCGTATGTTATCATTTTTCTAAAGGGCGAGTTTTTCGCTGTGACCAGAGTCACGTACTGCGGGGGGATCACTGGGATCTCCGACAAGTCGCAGATTTGAGCTTGGGTGAAAGTATCCTTTATAGACATGAACGATGGGAAGATATTGGACTTTTACAATAATTGATTATCTATGTAGTAGGTATATCAATATTTTGGTACCTCTATGGTTTTGTAAGCAGTTGCGGTATCGATGAAAAATCCGTAGCCACCGAGACTCACTTGGTGCAGACCATCGCGGGAGTTGACAAAAGTTTTCTTCTTTCTCGAAGGCTTGAGTTTTTTTTCCCATAGGTAGACGCTCGAAGGATCTTTGGTTAACTGAGTTTAATTTTTTTTCGCAAAGTAAAAATACAAGGTTTGATCAAGTATCATGAAATCCAAGAGTTATTGCGAATGAAATATGTTACACACCCTGAAATAGTCACGAGTGTAAGGGATGTCTTCAGCCGCCAAGTGTAAATCGCTGTCAACCAAATCTCTCAGGGTAACTATGTATCTGGGAGGTGCAGCGATCAATGAGCCGACTATGTCAGCAGAGTAGAACTGGAACATCACCAGAGCCCAGAGAAAGAGAGTAAGGAAAATAATGCGTCCGGAGTACAGCTGCAGCTCGTTGCTGGTACCTAAACGAATCGGAGGCAGCAAGTTAACAAATAAGTATAGCTCGTTTGGATGCAATTATTCTCAACCTTGCTGGGATACCGCGGCTATGGTAATGAGTGCCGTTTCCGAGGATGGGTTGACGTGAACTTTACGCGTTTCGTCCGAGTTGTAATGATCTTCTACTTTAAGGACTACTATCAACATAATCCAGCAAACTATGCCAACATTCAAGGACAACAACCAGACACTTTGAGTAAAAGGTTTGAGAAAAGGATTTCTAAGGGTATTCTTCTTGGGATGTCTGAAGATGAAGCAGGTTCTAAATGGGGGAAAAAAAGAATTTTTAGTCGAAAATTGATTAGATTGTGCTGATCGAGTGATCTGGAAGTTAGTACTTTGAAAACAATTATATCACAAACGCAATTCTCGTACAACGTACATATATTGCTATGGAAAACCTTGGTACGTCGATATGTTTGTGTATGCATACAATTATTATAGAAATACTTTAAAAAAAAACGTGTTGAACAATGTATAAATAATGAAAACTTAATGAATTACTTGACGGTGTACGTTTCCACGGTGTAATCACAGACGTCCATTCTTTCCTTTTTGTAATACAAAGGCAATTCTTTAAATCGCCATAACTCGCTAAATAATACAGATATCGCTGAAAGGAGTGTGATTTGTGATCATAAAAATAAAAAAAAATTTTTCTTCGAATTGACGACTTTGCTCGCTGGTTAAATATTAATATACGTTGGTAGCACTATAATATCTTCTGGTACAGCTCTTTTCACCACACAGAGCCTAAAAAAAATAGTGGCTATGCACTACATTGGGAGTTTCGAGAGACAAAATTATTAAAATCTTTAAATCGCCATAACTCGCTAAATAATACAGATATCGCTCAAAGGAGTGTAATCTGTGATCATAAAAATAAAAAAAAATTTTTCTTCGAATTGACGACTTTGCTCGCTGGTTAAATATTAATATACGTTGGCAGCACTATAATATCTTCTGGTACAGCTCTTTTCACCACACAGAGCCTAAAAAAAATAGTGGCTATGCACTACATTAGGAATTTTGAGAGTAAAAACAATGAAAATCTTAAAATCGCCATAACTCCGTAAATAATGCAGCTATCGCGAAAAGAACGGTAATTTGTGATCATAAAATTAAAAAAAAAATTTTTTAAACTGAGTGACTTTGTCTACTGGTAACAGTGAATACATTCTCCAAGCACTTAAATATCCTCTGGGTCAGCTCTTTTCACCACACAGAGCTTAAAAATAATAGTAGTTATCCTTTACATTGGAAATTTCGAGAGACAAAATTATTAAAATCTTTAAATCGCCATAACTCGCTAAATAATACAGATATCGCTGAAAGGAGTGTGATTTGTGATCATAAAAATGAAAAAAAAATTTTTCTTTAAATTGACGACTTTTTTTGCTGGTTCAATATTAATATACGTTGGTAGCACTATTATATCTTCTGGTACAGCTCTTTTCACCACTCAGAGTCTAAAAAAAATAGTGGCTATGCACTACATTAGGAATTTTGAGAGTAAAAACAATGAAAATCTTAAAATCGCCATAACTCTGTAAATAATGCAGTTATCGCTGAAAGGACTGTAATCTGTGATCATAAAAATGAAAAAAAAATTTTCTTTAAATTGACGACTTTTTTTGCTGGTTCAATATTAATATACGTTGGTAGCACTATTATATCTTCTGATACAGCCCTTTCCACCACACAGAGCCAAAAAAAAAAAAATATTGGCTATGCACTACATTAAGAGTTTTGAGCGAATAAATTATGAAAATTTTTATCTTATTTTACCATATTTTTTGAAGCTATATGGTTTGTTGTAAAAGTCAATGTTTTCTCGTACTTATGTTGTTTTATTTTCAGAGGTTGAAAGTAAAATAATTGCAAATGACACTGATTGTAAGATTTGAAACGTATGAATAAGCACAAAAGTCACATCTATTGTGCTACTATGGCACCAAAAGTGGAGCTCTAGTGTCAAGCCTCTTCCGTGCTTTAAGTAGATGCAGGTACGTCTGTTGGTTCGGAAGCAGGCGTACTCTTTAGAACACCAATGCCAACGGCAGATCTTCCCAGACGCCGTTGGTACCACATCACCGTAAGTCGCTCGGTTGCCATGACGGCGATGGCGAGGACGAGACCGGCAGCCACAAGAAACAGCGCTGGGCTGGACTCTTTGAGCTCGACCGGCACCGGCTGAGAGAGAAAGCTCTCTGGGCAACTGGGCTTCCGAGTCCGCCAGACGTGCGCGTTACGGCTTACCAGACCGTGCTCCACAATCTTTCGAAGCCTGGATTGATTTTACGCAGGTTACTAGAGTTACATTGGTTAAACAATAGTAGGGGATTTTGGCTTACCCGTATGTTATCATTTTTCTAAAGGGCGAGTTTTTCGCTGTGACCAGAGTCACGTACTGCGGGGGGATCACTGGGATCTCCGACAAGTCGCAGATTTGAGCTTGGGTGAAAGTATCCTTTATAGACATGAACGATGGGAAGATATTGGACTTTTACAATAATTGATTATCTATGTAGTAGGTATATCAATATTTTGGTACCTCTATGGTTTTGTAAGCAGTTGCGGTATCGATGAAAAATCCGTAGCCACCGAGACTCACTTGGTGCAGACCATCGCGGGAGTTGACAAAAGTTTTCTTCTTTCTCGAAGGCTTGAGTTTTTTTTCCCATAGGTAGACGCTCGAAGGATCTTTGGTTAACTGAGTTTAATTTTTTTTCGCAAAGTAAAAATACAAGGTTTGATCAAGTATCATGAAATCCAAGAGTTATTGCGAATGAAATATGTTACACACCCTGAAATAGTCACGAGTGTAAGGGATGTCTTCAGCCGCCAAGTGTAAATCGCTGTCAACCAAATCTCTCAGGGTAACTATGTATCTGGGAGGTGCAGCGATCAATGAGCCGACTATGTCAGCAGAGTAGAACTGGAACATCACCAGAGCCCAGAGAAAGAGAGTAAGGAAAATAATGCGTCCGGAGTACAGCTGCAGCTCGTTGCTGGTACCTAAACGAATCGGAGGCAGCAAGTTAACAAATAAGTATAGCTCGTTTGGATGCAATTATTCTCAACCTTGCTGGGATACCGCGGCTATGGTAATGAGTGCCGTTTCCGAGGATGGGTTGACGTGAACTTTACGCGTTTCGTCCGAGTTGTAATGATCTTCTACTTTAAGGACTACTATCAACATAATCCAGCAAACTATGCCAACATTCAAGGACAACAACCAGACACTTTGAGTAAAAGGTTTGAGAAAAGGATTTCTAAGGGTATTCTTCTTGGGATGTCTGAAGATGAAGCAGGTTCTAAATGGGGGAAAAAAAGAATTTTTAGTCGAAAATTGATTAGATTGTGCTGATCGAGTGATCTGGAAGTTAGTACTTTGAAAACAATTATATCACAAACGCAATTCTCGTACAACGTACATATATTGCTATGGAAAACCTTGGTACGTCGATATGTTTGTGTATGCATACAATTATTATAGAAATACTTTAAAAAAAAACGTGTTGAACAATGTATAAATAATGAAAACTTAATGAATTACTTGACGGTGTACGTTTCCACGGTGTAATCACAGACGTCCATTCTTTCCTTTTTGTAATACAAAGGCGATGCGCTAATGTCGACGACACCTTTTACCATATCCCCGAGAATCCCATTGAAAGATCCATTCACAAGGTAGCCCCAGGAATTAGTTCTCGAGAGGTTTATTCTACATCAGAATTAATAATTCATTGCGTTGTTACAGTTTACACATTGCATAGGGCAGATTATTACTTAAAATTGTAATAGTCCCGCAACTGGAGAATGATGTTGTAGTGAAATCGACTCATAGTGTCGATGTGAGGGTTAACCGGTACCGATAGGTACGTTTCCAAATCAGGTTTTGGCTCCGAGGTGAGCTGAAAAATTGCATCTTTAAAATTTTCTTATTCTCAACAAACAAACCATGTAATAAATGTGGTGGGACAATATTACGGCAACTGAAAAATTTAAGGACATCCCGTTGAAATCTTGTCGCCTGTTATATTTGTACTGTCTCAAGTGAACGATCAAACCGTTCACGCTGTCCCAATTTCCCATTGAGGTAACATTAAGTGTACTTCCGTGACGAGTGCTGTGCGAAAATACATCATAGAGAGCACAATGAGATTTTTCCATTAGAGCGAGAGTCAGCTCGGAATCCACCGCCAGTGAGAGCTTGCTGAGCTCTGCCACTGGTACTTCTGATGCCGATTTTACAGAGAGCCAGTTGTACGACTCGTTGAACGGTAATTTGGCCGCTGAAAACTACCATCGAAAAGTGATATCTATTTGTTGTATAAAAAAAGAAGCGTGTACTCACTAGTTTGAAAATGACGTCGCTTTCAGGACAATCCATATCGAGGACAATTCCGATCTTGTAGTAATTAACGCGTAAGATTTTATTCATATCTGCGTCATCTGCGATCGCGATGTAGGAACTACCTAAACCGTTTTTTGCAACAAGTCGGTAGTAGTCCATGATTTCTGTAAGTTTTGTCATTTTTTAACATTGTTTATCCTTATTTTTATGGTACTATACTAAAAATGTACCAGAATCATTCCAGCAGGCAAACACGACGATTTGTTTGATATTTTTGTGATCGTAGTAATCTACGATGAATTCGGAACTGATTTTTCCGTTAGCCGTTAACAATGCGCAAGTGACGAATAAAAAAATGGCCGTCCACATTTTTTCGTACCAATTTTTATTACGTAAAAATACAAAATCGAATCATTCCGTTTCAGCCAAAGTTTTACAATAAAATCGCGAGTATAGTGGCAGGTGAACAAGGGGGAATAATAATGTAATCCCGCACGCAACGACATCGGAAAATCAATGTGTCTCTGCTCTGCATTTTATCCCTCGTTAAAATTTCACGAAGCGCCTTCGAACGCATAATCTCGCAGCCCACCTTTCATGCATGTGGATTGTACTTATGGTAAAAGTCGTATCATTAATTTTCTTGTGCTGCACGTATATATCATCGGAACATGATATAGTACGGGGTCTACTACGTTGACTGTAGGATCGAGAGGATGCTAAATTGCCGGTAAGCGACAAAATCGATAAGAATTACCGTTACCGATACATCGTGTAACAACATATATTTTTAAGGCGTGTATCCTATTTGAAATTGTACCTATCAGGAGGAAGAGGAGAGTAGTATACCAGTTTATACATTTGAATATGTCACAAAGAGAGAAATATCATTTGAATAATATTCAGTAATTCAACTCCACGTTATACATGAGTGTCTAGAGGCTTGCCGTTCCAAAGGAGCAGTAAATTATACTTTAATTTAAAATTTAATTTGTCCTGTGCTAAATAACGTTTCAATAGATTACCCTGTGTTGCTGTTAATTATGTTAATACTTTCAAATTTTAATAAGTTGTATAAAACTATAATTACATTACTAAGTTCTACAACATAAACATAAATTCAAAAACTGTATTAATTTTCATTCTATCATTTATACTTTCACCAAAATTTTACTTACCAGTAACTTGAGCGGATATGGATTCAACTGCAAAAATAAAAAATGAGATATCGAAAAGTATGTTATTTAGTGACACATTAGCAATACTATTCTTTAATCAGCACACGGGTGTTACAGTTCTGCAAAATAACTTTCCAGCAAAACATAAATCTCGGTGGTATCGATCTAGAAAAGTAAAATATTCATAGAGTAAAATTGTTACATTATCAGAGCACATAATAATTAAGTTTTGTTTTTGAAATTTAAAAAAATTTTTTTTTAATGTGGAAAGATCACACGGTTGATATTGAAAAGTAGTTTGTTATACGGTTTATTATAAAATCAAAAATGAAAACTATATGAAAAAAAGGCGTGAAGTGCATCTTGATTTTAGCTAAAACGTTAAATTTTCCAATTATTTAGAAAAACTTAAGTAATCACGTAAAGTTGTAATGTTCTTGTAATTGGCTACTTAAAACGTAATTGTATGCATACATATTTCTTTTGTGTGCCTTACAAAAAAAAATTTTTTTATATTTTTTTGTGTCAGTAATCATTAGATTATGGATAGTCTTAAAGAATCAAACTTTTCATAAAGGATGTCGCTTTTAAAAATCGCCATCAATCAGTCAGATAACATATTTGTATGACAATCATGACTTATTTAATGTTAAAATGTCATCGTTAATTTTTAGAATTAGTTTTAGAAATTTTTTTTATAATGTCTTTAAAATATAAATATACTAACTAGATTTTTGGTAGAAAAAATTATCCTTGTTTATGTTGAAGACAATCAACGAATATCATTATTTTAATTAGCTATATGAAAGTATAATGCAATTAATAATTTTAGATACTAACTACAGATGTACCGTAAATACACCAACCTTGACATAGAACGTTATCTCTAAATGTAAATGCAAGTATAAAAGTGTAAAATTTTGTTTTCTTCAATTCTATTGCGAGTAAGTAAATTGGTTTTCTTACCAAGATAACAGAATACATGTCTGTTACATAAAGTCAAATGTCTCGTTCTTTTTTTTTTTTTTCATAATTTTCCCTATTTTCTTTTTTCCGTAGATCCCCAGATCACTGTACTCATTTGTAGTATGCAATTAATTTTCTCCAACAATTCTTCCGACAAATTATACGTCTCCTACCTCTACTCTAATAGAGTATTCGTGGAAATGTCAACGATGTGTAACATTTCGTTGCATTCACCGTAGAAAAGAGATTGCCTTTTTTTTCTGGCTGGTTGATTTATACGTACCTTACCTTCCTTCGTCACTACCGTAATTGTATAAGCGGTGATTTCGATTAAACGCCGCTTGCTTTATTCATTAAAAATTAAAAGTGAGCATACATTACCAGCTAGACTGTTTATCACTAGGAAAAAAAGGCAGCGCGTCGAAGGTGCCATTATTTATTGAAAATACTCTTTACAAGTTTTAATTTGCTATCGTTACCTACCGCATACACACAGAACCAAGAGAGATTTGCGTCATGGAAATTAAATTACTTCATCGGATTCATTTGCTTTCTTACTTTCCGTTGATTCCCCCGATATGCTAATCTCCTTACCAGAGTGTAAAAACAAAGGCAGAGAACACTTTTCACGAACAAACATCCCGACCAGATTTTCCACGAGCATTATAAACGTGGAGACGAAAAAAGCTGCTGAAATCATGACAAGTACTGGACTGAAGTCACTCAACGAAACCGGAGTGGGAATTGAGTTGTGGCTTTCGGGACACACTGGCTTTCTGGGCTTCCACACTGTGTTCAATCGACGAGTCATGCCATGCTCGACCACTTGCCTCAAGCTGCGTAAGTTGGATCGGTTAAAATTTTACTATCTGCCGGCGTTTTTGTTCATGCGAGAAATCATAGGTGCTCTTGGGAAAAAAGTGTCTTATTCGAGCAGGCTATTTTAGCTACATTCATCATCTTTAATTACTTGTCGATTACTTTTGATTACAAAAAATTACCGATAGCGCGGATCAATCATACATGATTTGAGTAATTAGAAGAAAAAAAAAAAAAAAAGTATTGAAGAACGTTGTGCTTTTTTTAACGTGACAGTCTTACCGATTGAAGAATGCTCCGAGCAAATTTATCGTTGTGTCGGGGGTTACGTGAATTTTTTTTAGTACAGTTAAAATAGTTGTTATTTTCAAAACGCTGATTCTCACCCGTAGGTCACCATCTTTTTAAAAGGCGAGTGTTTTGCCGTGCAGGTCGCCGTATGCTTTGGGCCAAAAAGTTCTATTTCCTGCAGATCGCATATTTCATCTTCGCTAAACGTATCCTAAAATAAAAACGAAAATATCATCTAGCAGTCGAGTGTCCAGATCGGATGCAAGTCCTTCGGTTCGGTAAGGTTATTTACGATTTTCCTCATTCATTCGAAACAAATATAAGACGGACAACAAGAACAGCGCCAATGCAACTGGAAATCGTTTCATCGAATAAATACAAATTACTGTTTACCAAGTCGTTTTTCTTGGATTTGATTTCTGTACAAACACGTTTTCCTTCGATACATGGTAAACTTTCTTATAGCGTGTGTGGTATAACTCTAAAAATATTCGTAACAGCTTTTTGCTACATATTTTTACACACATCTGTTTTACAGCGTAAGTCATTCGATGCAACGTATCGATGCGAACACTCTTAGTTGGCATCAATAGTCAAACCAGACGTTGTGAGACTTGACTTTTTATACATTGGGCTGATTTAAAATTCTATTTTTAAACGAATACTTTGTCCTTGTAAAAAAAAAAAAAAAAAAAAAAACTCCATAAATATACTTACACACGGCACTGGATACAAAAAGAAAAAATACAGGGTTGCGCGTGTACAATAATTTTTAATTAACGGGAGCGCGGAAACATGCATAATTCATCGAGAAGAATAGAAGAAGGAGTCGGAGAGCCGGTGATTCGGTCCGCGCAACAAATTGTGCAGCCTGTGTATATATGCTATACCGTCGTAATAGGTACACACCGCGAGTCGCAAAAACCAGTGGCACTGCACACACGTACGGCACAATACCATTTATATATATGTATACGTGTATATATATGCGATAGAGGCGCGATGGAACGACGAAAGTCATTGCACCCATTGCGCACGTACGGCAGGTACGTACGTATACACAAAAAGTCCCATAATACCGTACATATACCCACATGTATTTGAGCGCAAAAACGCGAGCGACTCCTTTTTCTCATCTCCTTTCCCGNGGTGATTAGTAGTCATATATATATACACATATACATACGTACCCTGAAAAAGTCGTGATTGTAGGGCATGTTTTCAACTCCAACCTCGAGGTTGCTGTAGGCAAGGTCCTTGAGGTTCCTGATGAAGCGAGGCTTCTCGGCCATCAGAGAGCCCACTATGCTCGCCGAGTAAAACTGGTAGAGCAGCAGAGCCCAGACGAAGAGGGACATGTAGACGATACGACCGGAATACATTTGCGGGGTGTCGCTCAGACCTGGATTGTATTTATGGATTACCAAAACAAAGATGGGAAACGTCAGCATCGCTTGGTTGGTACCTTGCTGGCATAAGGCCGCGCTCGTGATGAGGAAAGTCTCGGACTCGGTCTGATCGAACAGAGTGGAGTGGGATTCTCGGCTCCCGTACTTTTTTTCGACTCTGACGGTGAGGTACAGGAGCATCCAATTCAACAAGCCCACTGCGACGGTCAACCACCACACCCTCCGTGAAAACGGCTCCAAGAATCTGTTGCTCAATTCTTGCCTCTTTGGATGCCTGAATATTATCGCTGCCCTATTTTTTTTTTTACAGTAACACAATGCCAATCACATTTAGCCTTTGAAATTTCGGGGGAAATGTTGGCTTGTTTACTTTGCCACGTAAGCCTGAACGGTGTACTCCATGACGTCGAGTCTCTCCGACTTGAATTGAAAAGGGGTAGCGCCAACGTCGACTATTCCCTTCATCATGTCACCTATGATGCCGTTGAAGGTCCCGTTGATTAGGTAACCCCAAGTCTCGCCGCGCATCAAATTCATCCTGAAACGCACGAGGCGTCAATCGTGACTTTGAATTTCACAAGTATAGCTTACAGGGGGAAGGAAGATTCGTTTGATAAGTCAATCCCAGCACAACAAAGTTTCATGCAGTTTTCGAGCACCCGCGGGTGAAGAAAAAGCGTGCTTTAATTGACGAGTAAGTGTGTGTATATCAATTTTTCCAGTAGCTCATACATATCGAGATGACGAATCGGATGGGTATGATTAATAGCTTTGTGCGTTACATCAAGCGCCCAAGTCCGAGCGGGAACTTTCATGAAAAAAAACAAAAACAGATGGGAATTACGTGAAGTTGTAATAATCCCTCAGTTGCAGCGTCAGGGCGTAGTTGTACCGGTGCATGGTGTCCAGGTGTCTGTCGATCGGAGTTGACAAGTACGTGTTCATGTCGACCGTCTTCGGTGGAAAGTCGACCTGGGACGATCGAGAGAAAACATATGTACATTTTTTTTTGTTTTTTTTTTGTTTTTTTTTTTCAAATCCGAGATTCAAGTATCGTCAGCATGACACGCGGGTATTTCCTTCTTTTCCGCCAAGTCAGACATGAATATACTCGCCACAATGGAAAAATTCAGGTGCATCCCTCGCAAGTCACCGCGTCGCTTGTACTTGTACTGCGTGAGCGTGTTCCTCAGGCCCTCGGCCTCGTCCCAATGGCCCATCCTCGTGACGTTCAGCTCGTTGCTGTGCCTGTAGCTCACCTTGTAAGCGTCGAAAAGCTCGTATCTACGCGAGTTGGTCGTGTTTTGGCCGGGCACGGCTACCGTCACCTCGGCGTCGATGCTGAGCGGTAGGCTCTCCAGAAACTCCACGGGGAGCCTCTCCGACGTCATGAGCCAAAAGTAGGACTCGTTGAAGGGTGTCCAGCCACTGGCGACCTGCTGATTGTTCAAAAAATCGACATCGAATCGCTTCCTTTTTTTTTATTGTCTCGATTGATGCCCAAGCCTACGTAAAAAGTGTTTTATACTTGAGGTGCAATTCGATGTAACGAACCTGATGCAAGATGACTTGACTTTGCGGGCAATCCAAATCGTAAAGAATCCCGAGCTTGTAGTAATTCACCTTCAGGAACTGTTTCATGTTCAGATGGGCGGAAATCGGCGCCAGCGATAGCAGCGTAGCGGCGCCATGGTAAAATCCCACCATCTCTGTGGAGTGCGAGCGAAGAGGATGAAAAAAAGGAGAGGGAGAAAAACTTATCGGTGTGACACCTTGCGCGTGTAGGAAGTCTACCTTCGACATGGCCTTTGGCTCTATTTAAATCAACGCTAATAAAGTTTTATTGTGCAACCGCGTAAATACATGTATACATTATAAATGCATTCATCCTCTGGATTTCAAAAGCTCGATTTCCTTTTCGCGCTCTGAGGCTAAGGATTGAAAAAAAAAAAAAAAATCAAAAAAAAAAAAAAA